CCTCTGTGATCCACTTATGTGAATTATTAGTATTTTATATAAGAGGATAACATAGAGAAAAGAATTCTTAAATAAATCCTGACAGAGCACGTAACTAAAAAATTCGATTTCGACTATCATTGCCAACAAATTAAACACGGTAAGAAAATGATTTAGTTCGCCATAAGTACAACATAAGTATTAATCAAAATGATTTATTTGGCTAATTTGAATTAAAGCAGTATATTATACTTCTCGCATAATGTACTGCAACTACCTGTATCAGTCTCAATTTAAATCATAAACATTATATTAAAATAATAAAGTATGGCTTTTCTAAGCTCGATTTTCCTTTAGTTACGGACTATCCTTGCTATTTGACTAAGTGAATCGTCATTACTTCTACTCTTAAAGTGAACCTTAACGTAATATGTCATTAATATATTTGCCGATATTTAATTAATAAGTGTTTTTCCCTATAAATTATGTAGCGTACAAAACTACTGTAATTAGCTGAAATCACTGCGCTGTGCTAAGGATTATATTGTACACTAATATATATGTTTTACTTAATTAACACTAGTCCAATCTACTTCATTCGAAGAAAAAATAAGTCCTCATTAAAATTTAAAACAATTTCATTGCAGTCATTTGCCCTTACCAGTTACGAAAATGTCACGTCTCCCTTTTGATACAAAGCCATATTGTTTCGTTTCTATCTACAACTAAGAACTGTAATTGTAAAAGCTTGCATAGCTGCAATCGCCTACTTTAATTGCTGTTTTTTAACTGAAAAATGCTTAAAACATAATCCACACATTACAAACTAAACTTATATTCGCTTCAATAAATTGGACAGCGAGTAATCATACATGTATTAAATATACAGTAACTTGAATCCGAATTTCGGGTTTAAAATTATTTTTCTAGTCACAACTTTTAGTTGACTCTTGGCCGTGATCTCGCCAGCTCTCAGAATTAGCTAGTATGCCATTATTAAAAGTTATACAACGACTGCACATGTACGTGTATTCACTCTCAGTACAAATCGCAGCTAAATCTCAGGATTAAAATCACTTAAATAGTTGTTACTGTAGTTGATTTTTGACTATGCCTCGCTTATGAAAAAAATGTTGACACGCCCTTTCAAGAACTTCTGTATTCTCACTCAACAAGAATTAAATCTAAAGTTTCTTAAATTGCAGTTATTTCGATCGAAATCTACGATTCTTGATTTTTTCATTTTTTGGTCATCATAGGCCACTGTAGCTTCTTAACGCCATCAAAAATCTACCGTCATAATTTATTAAAACCATGGAAAGGGCCAGTTTGATAACAGAATAGATCATGTTTATTTATTCCTTATGGCAATGCTAGAGGAAATACTGTAGACTGTTACTGTGCTATTGCAATAGTGCGTCTTTTGCGTCAATATGAATTATATCCTTCATCCCCTCCAGTTAATTAAGCGAAGTAATTCTCAAATGCTCTTGTTCAATTGCTTTATATATAGTATTGAAAGTATTGCTGGCATACTAAATGATCTCATACAGAAATGAACTCAAATTATCATCATCTAACCGTTCCTTTATCCTTGTGAATAACGAAAAGAATAGTCTCATTAAAAATCATTAGTTTAATTAATAGCAGGTTTATTGGTAGCATCATAGAATAATAGAATAATAGGGCTGACAGTATTTAGTAATATGTAATTAATGGCTTTGCTTCTAAATTACAGTAACAACTACTACAATGTGCAAAGACTAAATATTAAAATGAGTTGAAGTTGTTGATCAGCAAAAACATGACAAAGCAGTGCCGTACCGTCGCTAATATTTTGTCAAACCGTGGATGTTATTTTAATGATGAAGCGAATTGCCTTCTATCTTTCATAAAACAGCACTCGTTGATAATATCATTATTAATAATAAATCATAATCTATTGTAGATCGTCAAAGAAATTGGTAGCTGACGATTGAAGGAAGATACCAGCAGTCCAGCTATGAAAATGATCAAGTTGTTATCACTGGTCATCATTTCTATCCACTGTATTTTTACAGTTCAAGCGCAAAGTAAAATATTATGATCAATTAAACCCTTTAAGAAATTAAAGTAGTGACTTAAATCGTCGGTAGATAAATAGATATTGAAGGGAAATAAGTGGAACTTGTATTTTCTAAAGTTAATAGTAGAATGCTGCCTAGCAAAATTTTGCTTTATGTATATTTTTCCAGTATGGCATGAATAGCATCTTATTTCTTAGTTCTATACGTAAAGCACTCGTACTGTGAAATACGTGTGTTAATTAATCGGTCTATTCAATTAATAAGGCTATTGAACTTCAGTTCAGCATCTATACTGTATATTAACTAGGCTAGGCATTATTATGATACTAGGAATTATGGAAATTACTAGGTCTAGAGTTCAATACATGGATAATTCTATAAAATGTGATGTTGGAAAATGATCAGTTACCGATGGGAATAGAAAGAGTAAAAAATTAGTTATGAAATTGACTGCGTTATTCTAACATGTTATGATCATGTATATGTACAAATAGCAGCATGGATAGGATATGTAATAATAATTAACAACTAAATCAGGTAGTTATCGAAATTCTATGCTAGGATACGCTACTGTACTCGTTTGTCTTGATAAAATGAAATTTCTGTAATACTGTTTATTCGTAAATCAGATAGCTATCGATTTTGGACTCCAGTCGCACCTAAATAATACCTACTAACACTGAGTTATCATAATTATTAAAGTTTAAAATAATTACCGGTACAGTATATCCTACTACACGATTCCATTGCAAGCAAATCAGATAGCGTAGTCGTCGATTTTCGATTTTGATAACTTTGAAATTAGATTCGTCTGATTGGATATTGTTATTGAAGTTGATAATTATACCCGTATGCTAGCATTCCCTTATTACATGATGTACTAAAGTACGTATTTACTGACAACCTTACTGATGTTTATTGATCGCTTTTATAGTATCGCGGCAAGGTGATGTTCACGAATCTAGCCGTGGCAGAGAATTTAACGTTGTCATCATGCATGATGCCCCACTGTTCGATAGGATACATATAACCTCCTTCGATCATCCATGTGAAGTCATTGTAACTACTAAAGTCGATAATAAGGCTACATCTTATTCGATACCCGCATGGGAAACTTTGACTATAACCCCGAGTATAAGCACTACACTTCAAACTATCGGAGTTTCCAGCAGAATTATAAACATCTTTGCCGATCAAGATGTTTCTGTAGGAGTATACCAATCCAGGTCGACGAAACAAGATGCATATCGTGCATTACCAGTCAGAACATATGGCAAAGAGTATGTTATAGGGCTATACAATAGCACAACGGGAAATTCGCGATTTAGTATTGTAGCAACCGAAGACAACACTGCCATTAGTATACGTACTTCAGCTACGTTAACATTCAATTCACAAACTGCATCATTAACTGATCCGGTCAATATCACCTTAAATAAGCATGAAGTCTTCTATTATAGTGCTTTAACAGATTTTACCGGTACACAAGTCTCAGCTAATAAACCAATAGCCGTATTTGGTAACAATATGTGTGCAGCGTTATTGGAAGGGCAATCTACATGTAATTACTTAATTGCTCAATATCCATCCGTGGAACGTTTAGGGAGCATTTATGTCCTCATTATTAATAATCAAAGAGTCGCAGATGTATACCGCGTTATTGGAGCATATGATAACACTGTTATCACAGCAACACAGCTCAGCTTGTCTACTACTATCAATAAAGGGGATTATTACGAATTTACTCTCACAATTCCAAGAGCTACAGTATTAAAATGCAGTGAACGTTGCTTACTCATGCATTACGATCGAGGCGTAAAAAGTGTTGGTTCTCCAAGTCAACCATCCATGAACATTGTGCCTGCAATCGATCAATTCATGACTAACTACTTCATGTACATTAAAAGAACATCTCCGCTCTATACTGCATATCCATTTATAACTATTATTATTCCAACTAGTTATAAAGATGGAATTCGTCTAAATAATCAACCACTCAGTTCCCATGGCGTAATATGGAATGAACGAGCAGCAGCAGGTGTTAATTATGCTATCACATCCACCACCGTTTCTTCGAGTGGTAATGGTTATTTTATCAAGCATATCACGCCCACTGTGAGATTTGGATTAATAGAACACAGTGAATCAACTAGTAGGTCATTAACTAGCCTATCTGGTGGTTTCCAATTTCCCGCAACCTATCGCTGTAAGCTTATTAATAATACAGTAATTACTATTTTAAAACAGTGTTGCTTATGGATACTAGCGTAATTAAATTACAATTATGAAACTGCGTTCTAATGGTAGCATCAGTAAATATTATGGTAGTGCAATTAATTATTGATGTCTTATTTTGATTTTAGCATTTATTACTGTGGTTGAAAATCCAATAGCACAAATAGTACATGAAAATCAAGGATTTAACTTAACCTGCAGTGCAATCGGTTATCCATCATTATCCGTTGTTTGGTATAAAGATAATATACTGATCACCGCGAATGTGCAAAGAGCTCCATATTCTGGCAATTCAACATTAACTGTTACCTCAAGTTCTTCTAGTAATGCTGGATCATATTATTGCCAGTTCTGCACTAGTATTGGCTTACTAAATAGTGCATCAGCTCAAATTATTGTCTACAGTAAGTGTTACATTTATCATTAGTAATTTTATCATCTCTATAATCCGTGCCAATAATTCTACTTACTCTTTATTATAGCCAAACCTGTTGTCAAATCAATTATTGGTGACATTTTTCCAATAGCTGGACATAATTTGGTCTTAACTTGTGACTATACCTCTAACAATAATGCTACTGTTACATGGTTGAAAGATAACATCGTAATCGCTAGAGATACTTATTTTAATCTAACTACACTTCGAATACAAAACGTATCCTTGGCCGATGCAGCTAATTATACTTGCTCCGTCGAAAATTTGATTGGAACACACAATTTTACCGCAATAGTAACAGTCAGAAGTAAGTTAAATTAACGATATTTTATCTAGATTCGTTATTAGTAATTGTATTTGTAGCAATGAAGACAATGGCTCTTACTGACATGTTAAAATAATAACTTTAGCGAATTGTGATTATGGCCCGAATCACTTAATAATTTTATCTTGAATATTACATACAAGAATACACTCGTGCTGTAGTCGCTAGTTATTAGATAGAATGACATCATACAGACTGTCTTAACCTCCCATAAAACTGAAATGAGATTAGCAACTATGCTTTGACCTGAATTCTCTCTTCATTTTTCTTCCGAGCAATTATACAGTAGCGTTTTATATCTTCATTCTTATTCACTCCAAAATCGTCAAACACTGTTGTATAGTATTCTTATATACGTATTTTATAGTAATAGAACTAGTACAGTATGTAATATACTCGCAGAGTATTAGATATTATAAGATACTCTATTGAGAGTAAGCAGAACACTACAGGATGTAAGGACTCAACAAGATAGATGAATAAAGTTACAAGAAATCAGCTCATTTATATAGGATTATGATAACTTGTTTACACATAACATACACGAAGTAAATAGATGGTAAATAGATTTAGTCTATGATAATGTCCTATAAGAGATAAATTTACTGGTATTTGTTAATATTACCATCTCATAGGAAGACTTACGATTAATCTCACATTTACATAGAATCAATATCATTAGAATAACGATAATATGTCTATATTCGTATAATAATATCAATAGCAAATAACTATTACATTGCAATAACATCAAGTGACTATTATAATGCCAAACAGTAAACATGTTGATCATAACATCATAGTAAATAGCCAGTATGTTACACCGTATACGATACAGTAGTCTCCCGACAAAGTTATAGTGCAGCCTACGAGTATATAGATACAAAGAGTTATACAACGAGATAATTATAGGAGGCAATTGTAATCCGAAACATATTGCTATCGCTAACTGTAAATTAAAGTTATAAATACAACTTAGATCTTAGTACACCAAGTAACTGCTACGTATGATTTACTCATGGCTAGATAACTTGGGATATAATCGAGAGAGGCGATCTGTATTAGAATTATAAGGCCACTTTGAAATTTAGTTTCATACATAAATGTTAATATAATAATTAGAAACAATCAGCGACCATCTAAGAAAGATGTTTATTAGGGTTGTATAGAATGTAAGCCAAGCTAGAAGCTTCTGATCAGTATATAGCTCAGTTTTAATACTTTCAGGTAAATATTTTAACATTCATAATTAAGCACCAAATTATGGCTAAGCACACTTTTTCTACAGGGCTATATGCAAGTTCATACTTTAACAATGTGTGAGATATGTAGGCAATCGGCCTCTCTTCATTATTAGAATTCTTTTCTGCCGATTGAGTACCAATAACAACGTCGGAAATATCGATTTAGAAGATGTACAGGCGGCGTAGATTAGCTATCTCAGAATAGAGATCTCAGTCAATGTTGTCTTGAAGATTTCGTATGCTTGATCGCTCTTGACTGAACATTCCACCCTTTCATCCTTTGCCTTCTACAAAATACTTGTTAGTAAAGCGAATATCGTGACGAATTGCGAGGCTGTCATGCAGTCGATGCCGATACATAGAATCATACAATAAGATAATAAGAAGCGCTAGTAATCTGTAATAAAAGTAATAGGACATTATCGTAATTATCAAATTAATAAAACTATCGCTTAGTGACGATATTAAATCATCGGGCTACGATAACAAAAAATTTCACAGTAAAAGATCATTTTCAAATAAATGTGGTTAAGACACCATCGCAATATATTTAGATTTAACCCAGAACTAACATCGCTCGTTAATACTATCTGTAGTATTTACTTATATCGTCTTTCTTGTGTACAATGAATCTGTTTTAGTATTGAAGAATCAGAATCGTCATTCTATTACAGAATTATATTCAAAAGTAACACCAAATATTATATTTTCATCGGTGATGACTACATCTTAAAGCATTGTAGAAATAGCTTGAGTTCATAATCATAGAATTATTGCGATAATCTAATTTTATGCATATATTACCAGACCTAGATTACAAGTATTAGCAGTAAAGATGTAACAGAATTCAGATTGTAACCATCTTGAATCAGAAATACTATTGATGATCACATAGCATTGTGCGCATCTGTAATAAGATCATAAATTTTATTAATATGATGTAATTTATCGAAAATCAGCTTGTCAGTACCATTTTAATACGCTTAATTTAAACATTAACGATAGAACTAATTATGCTGAATCAAATCAGATCTTTTCTTTATTATAAAAAAAGAACTGTTAACTGCACGAGTATACAGAAACAACTAGTGGACTTATAAATTGACACTGTATTAGATACGGTATCGAGTGTCATCAAATAATTAGCAGTTTGGTACTCTTTCCTAACATAATCACAAAAATCTACCTTAGCAAAATATAATTTCGATCATGATTTAATATTTTAATATGATTAAACTCAGTCTTATAGATTTGTAGTACTGTAAGACCTAATTTCATAGAATTGAATTCTAATAACAGCATAAAATTCTACTATTCCACATCATTCTTTATTAATACTACATAATCTACGGATACTAGTCACTGGAATAGACTAAGTGTTTCCTAGTATCTAAATAAAGTTGGATAGCACCATAGGAAAACAAAGTGTAGTCTAGAATAATATCCGTTTTATATCAGAATTCTTCATGTATTAGTATTTATTATTATCGTAATATTTGACATATTTCATAACGTAGAGAGCAGAAAGAACATTTTAATATCGAACGTAATTCGGCATTGAATTACGAAAGAATTCCTTTGTAAATTTTTCTAATAAAATATTTTATATTCAATTTTTGCTACGAAACAGTTATAGCTATCTTTAGTTACTTCTAACCAAATTCTATATCAATCTTATCTGCTAAATTTACTTTAGTTAGTCCATTTATTGTCCAAAATCCATTGAATGTTACCATCGACTCTGGTGATACATTTAAACTAGTATGTCAAATACAAGGCGAACCTAGTCCTACTATTTCTTGGCTTAAAGATAACAAAAAATTACTGGACTCCTCTTATTCCACTGAGCCGAGCGGGTTGTCTACTCTACTTATAAATAATACGTCAATTTCGGACAGTGGCAGTTATAAATGTAGAGGACAAAATTCTGCTGGCGCGAGTACGACAATGGATGCAATTGTGATTGTTTATTGTAAGTCTACCAGAATATTGATATTTACTGCGTAATTGATAAAGACTTATAAAATAGCCAATAGAAGATGTTACTATATTCCAACACTAATCAATAATTATATGATCTTAATATAATAGTCATTTATCTAATGTAGTTAATATCATATGCACCAATTTTTGTAATTATGACGTTCTTCTAATAACCTGTGAAATCATCACATTAGATGCTCCAAAAATACTCCTTAATCCTAGCAATACTACTATTGTCGAAGGCGATAGAATCGAACTGCAATGTACAGGAACTAGTTTACCGATCTTTAGCGTAACATGGCTCAAAAACAATCAGCCAACGACTTCTGATTTCACTACCTATACTAATGCAAGTAGTACCAATCGTACGGCGACACTCGTTATCTTCTCAGCTAATATTGGCGATGACGGATTTTACCAGTGCAAATTAACTAACAGACTTGGAAATATTACTAGTATGGCTAGCCGGGTTGAAGTTCAATGTAAGTGAATCAGACAAGTACCCGTAATTATCACTTGAAATTGATTTACTATTATATGAAACACGCCATGGAGAATAATTTGATTGACTGCGAGAAAACTTAGTCTAACTAAATGTTTGCCAGATAAATTGTACGCTATCTATATTAAAATAACTTTTCATAACTATTCTATTTTGTAAGTATAATTGTTACTCATTTTAAAAAAATTCAATTTATCCGAAACATATAGACATATTTTAATTTAAGTATCAGTTATATCAGCTGAAACACATATAATCAACTGCATCGCGTCGATTTACTGCGATGAATGCACAAAAACCTTTTATGAAACAATAACTTTAATGCTCAAAATCTGATATATATCACTGACAGTTAGATTTTAAACAATTACTAATATGGACGTCTATATTCTTTCTACTACATATTATTAAAAATACGTGAATGATGTACCCGATTCTACAGTTGCACCTCGTATTATAACAGAACTTACATCCTCTAGCCAATCAGTTATAGAAAATAGCGCAATAATATTAAATTGCCAAGCAAACGCAAATCCTGTACCCACTTTTACATGGTATAAAGATGGTATCGAAATTAATAGAACAACTTACTTATCGACGTCGTATAACCAAAGCCAAATATTATTAACCAACGTAACTGAGATGGACGCTGGAAGCTATAACTGTACCAGTACCAACCTTATTGGTAGTGCTAGCAGTAATATGGACATTACTGTGTACAGTAAGTCGATCAGTATTATAGACTAATAAGCCCAAACGACCTGTGTTCTCTTAAACTGTGTGCTTAGGCCGCTGTATAGAGTTATTAACATCATAAGGTATTATAAATCAAAATTTGCATTGATTATTAATGAAATATAAAATATTTTGTGATCATTTTTAATGATGTAGCAAAACCCTTCGTGATCGCTTCGCCACAAAGTGCTAATATCTACGTAGGTACATCTATATCCTTGAACTGTAGCAGCGATGGCTATCCACAGCCGAATATTACTTGGACACGAAATGGTGCTGTCATTACATCATCAAATGATCAAGAAATACTATCGCTTATTAATGTTACAACCAAACAGTCCGGAAAATACCAATGTTTATTTCGAAATGCTGCTGGAAATATATCAAGCAATGTTGCTACCATTATCGTCTATAGTAAGTTCAAGTAATACCAGACATTGCAAATTTATGTTACTACTTACCTACTAGCATACTAGTCTATAGCATGTCTAAATTTTCGATCCAAGTAAGAAGTAGCTTAGGTCTGTTATTGGTATGACAATATCTCGTAAAGTAGCAAATGGCTAACTTACTATCGGTAGCAAAATGTCAAATAAATTTTCAGTATATTTACAATTTTATTACCGAGATACATGGTTAAGAATTGGCGTGATCTTAGCGATTTCTCTGTGGATGTCAAATTTGTTCATTTTGACTGGACTTTAGAAAGTGACTTCTTGCTTGAAGTATAATCGCTCATTTAAACATTCTAACTGCTTAGCCAGTCTAGTAGTATAAATTGTAAAGGGCAAACAATCAAATTGTCTTCTTTTCTTATACAATGTTTAGTTTAAATGTCATGTATTGAACTGGAGTTTCTAACTTTAATTAATTATAGCTGCATTGGTTGTAACCTCACCGAACACAATAGTAGATGCTCCTATCGACCAAAAATTCAGCTTGATCTGTAGTTGTTCAGGCATACCTCTTGCTACTACAGCTACTTGGAAAAGAAATGGCACTGTCTTAAATAACCTTAATTATTCTATCTCTATTAACAAAATCGCTTCATCATCGGTTATGACCACGTTAACTATTGATGCATCAACCCACGAAGACGCTGGCAATTATAGCTGTGCTATGTCAAATAATTATACAAGCAGTAATACTGAACTTATTTCACTTACAATATTAGGTAAGCAATCAAGACCCACTATTACAATTATTTCAGTCATGAAACCTTAGCAGAGCCTATATTATCACCATACTATATCTTACATCTAAAGATAGTCACGTCAAAAATTTAGTCTACTATTTTAATACGATACGAGTAGTCAAGTTTTAGTTTACTGTAATATTAAAAGACTCCGTTAATGATTAGTTTTATATATTATACTGTAGACGGAATACAGCTTGATCCCATAGTATATAAAACAATTTAGATAGACGTATAAAATCAGTGAAATATTTACCTCAGTATATTTCAACAGTACAATTAAATAATGAATTATCACTATTATCGTTTAAATCCTCATTACCTCGACTTTTTTTTATTATATTAGCTCATTAGAAATAATTATCACGATATAATGTTATTTAGATTATTATTTTTGTTATAGCATGTTTAATACGGTGCGTTGGCAAACAAATCTTTATTTGTTGTAATACTTTAGTTGTAATGAATTAACCTGAGGATTTATTGCGACTCCCTTGCTATTATTATTACTGAAGAAAGACGGAGATATAAAATTGTATTTATTCTACTAAGCTATAGCGTGATTTAAACGTTAAACTTCTTTTTGGGGGTTATGATTAAAATGCTAGAACCACCGTGGTCTGTACAAAGTGTGCAAATATCAAATATCATGCCACGTTCCTTGACAATATCCTGGGATTTTCCTATATTTACTGGAAATACGCCGTTAACTAACTATTCTGTAACCATTACTAATGTCGATAATCGAACAATTGCAATTAACTGTTCATCAAGCATCGTCACTAACGCCTGTGTCGTGCCTCCAACGATAACATCAGTCAATTTTAGCGGATTAAAACCTAACACCTTCTATTATATTTTGGTCTGGGCAAGTAATGCTGTTGGTAATAGCGGAATAATATCCACTTCGTCCACAACTAATGAAACAAGTACAAAATAGTCAATACTAAAAAATTATTCCTATGTTAAATTAGTATATATCAGCGTATTCATATGACTGATGATATCATCACTTCTAAACTGCAAGTAAACCCGATATGTACTGTTACTGTTTTAGAAGTAACTCATCTTATCCGATTATCTTTATGTAATTATTACAGATCCTGAAGATACTGTCAATAATCTATATGCATTGGGATATAATTCTACCACTATTCGAATAAAATGGACACCACCTAAGCTACCGAACGGTCAAATCAACTACCGATTGTACCAGTGGAAAGCTACTTACCCTTATAATGTCACTGATATACAATCAGCAGTTTTGTATGATGGAGGAAGTACTAGTTTTGATTCTACCAATTTAGAAGAAAATCAAGTTTATTTTTACCAGGTCATACCATATAATATTAAGTATGGCCTGATAGGTCCAATGGGAATGATTATAAATGGCACAACTCATGAAGATGGTAAGTAAATTCGTAAATAAAAATAATTGTGTTGTATTAATCGCGATACGTTCACGATTACGTACATTATAGATTAGATTTTAAATGTGCTATCTTCTAGTAGTACCGTCTGAATGAGCCAGTATTTTTGCATGATTACTTTTGAATACTGAGATTTCGAATTACAGTAATACCTAGTGTAATATTCGAAAATGTAAATTTCTACCAGTTATAATCCTCTTTTGCATGTTGTATCATAGTTCCTAGTGCACCTCCAACAAATATTAGCGTTATATCCACAACTCCGTGGTCAATTTCTGTTACGTGGTTGCCGCCACCACTATCCCATCGAAACGGTGTTATTATGAGTTATAACATTTCCTATTACTCAACAAAATGGAGACATGGCGGAAGCACACAAGTTAGTGACGGTAAAACAGTATCAGTTCTTGGAGGGTTAATACCATATACTGCTTACAACATTACAATTAAAGCAGCGACTATCATTGGATATGGGCCCAGTAGTGACGATATAATATCTGTAACAGAACAAACTGGTAAGAATTACGTGCTATAACATATTCTGTTATTAAATAGTACCTACTATCATCAAGATCTACTTTAATTTTCATGGTGTAGACGTCGTGTGATTCAAACATTGTAAAAACTTGATACATAACAGATAACTTTGTAAAACGTTATACACAGAATATCTGATGATACTAATTTTGACTTGTTACGATCTATTCTACGTCCTCTATTATAGTTCCTAGTGCTTCTCCAGTTAACGTTAGCGCTACAACAGTATCGGCTTGGTCAATAGTTGTTACCTGGCTACCACTACCGATATCTTATCAACATGGCGTTATAATTAATTATCATATTTCATATTATTCTAGCGAATGGCAACATGGTAATACTATAAAAACCACTGGAAGTGCTACATCATTAGTACTTAACAGATTAATACCATATACAGATTATAACGTAACAGTTAAAGCAGCCACTATCATCGGATTCGGACCTGAAAGTATCGGTATAGTAACAAGAACCTTCCAAGCTGGTAAGCTTATTACATGCTATAATAAGTCAAACTATAATATGATTTTAAGCATTAGCAGCTACGGATATCAATATGGTTATGTAACGGTAGCAAAATGCATACAATATTTTATTGAACGAGATTAATTCTTATTATGATTACTTTTATTTTGCCTTATTATTATAGCTCCTGGTGCTCCTCCAGCTAATATTAGCACCACATCAATATCGGCTTGGTCAATCTTTGTGGACTGGCTACCACCACCATTAATCGATCAAAATGGAATTATAATTAATTATAATGTTACTTACTATTCTAGTAAATGGAAAGATACCGGTACTATACAAGTCGATAACAATAATACATCATTAGTGCTTGACGGATTAAGGCCATATACAGATTATAATGTAACAATTAAAGCGGCTACAGTCATTGGATTCGGACCTGACAGTATGGGTATAATAACAAGAACATTACAAACCTGTGAGTATTACGTGCTGTGAATAATCACGTCTTCGTTTATGATTATTGACTATATTATTATCATTTTAGCGTAATTTATCTACAGCAAGATATGAATATATACAACACAGTACGATAAATTAGACAATATCTTCTGATTTACCTTGAATTTACCTTTATTCTAATAGTTCCTACTGCTCCTCCAAGCAACGTTAGTACGATACCAATTTCCGGCCGGTTAATCTCTGTTGCTTGGCTGCCGCCACCGATATCTGATCAAAATGGTGTTATAGTCAATTATAACATTTCTTACTATTCTAATGAATGGAAGCATGGTGATACTATACAAGTTAGCGGTAATACAACATCCTTGCTTCTTGAAGAATTAATACCGCACACAAATTATAGTATCACTGTTAAAGCAGCTACTATTATTGGATTTGGACCAGCCAGTATCGGTATAGTTACAAGGACACCACAAATTGGTAAATATCGTATGCTATGATTATAATTAGTCTTGTCACGAAGCAGGCATACAAATCATCTTACTTTAATGATATGGATATGAAAATACCTATATTATATACAGGAAAATTTGGTAATATTTAACTGCTATTCATTTTTATTTGTTATTCGTTATTTGTCGATAGTACCTAGCAGTCCTCCAGTTAACGTAAACGCTACAGCAATATCGGCTTGGTCAATCTCCGTTACTTGGCTACCTCTGCCGATATCAAATCAACATGGCGTTATAATTAATTATAATATTTCTTATTATTCTAATAAATGGCAGCAAGGTAGTACTATACAAACTAGCGGAAATATCACAACGTTGGTTCTTGTTGGATTAATACCATATACAGATTATAACATAACAGTTAAAGCAGCCAATATCATCGGATTCGGACCGGACAGTATTGGTATATTAACAAGAACATTTCAAGCCGGTAAAACATGTCAAATACTACGACTAAAAATTTAAAACCTTATTAGTAGCTAGTAATATCATCTTGATTTAATATAACTGTAGTACTGTGCACTCTCTATAGCCAAATTTAATGTAACTAACCTTGCTTTTGCATTTATCACTAAAGTTCCTGGTGCTCCGCCATCTAATATCAGCGCTATGTCGTTAACCGCTTCGTCAATTTCTGTTAGTTGGCTGCCGCCACCGTTATTGGATCAAAATGGAATCATTATCAATTATAGTATTTCTTATTATTCTAATATACGGATGCATGGTAGTACTATACAAGTTAGCGGCAATACGTCATCGCAGATTCTTCGCAGATTATTTCCATATACATATTATAATATTACGATTAAAGCAGCAACCACCGTTGGATTTGGATCCAGTAGCACCAATATATTAACAAATACACTACAAACTGGTAAGCACATCTGATGCTATGATTAACGATGTTAGGCCCATTATAATTAGTAATTGCAACATGCACAGAACTTTCGACAGTCTTAATTTCTATATGTCGTATTTAATATTTCTTTATTCCTAGTTCCTTCTGCTGCCCCAGCTAATGTTAGAGCTACAACAATATCTGCTCGATCAATTTCTGTTACCTGGCTACCGCCACCGAAATCAGATCAAAATGGTGTTATAACCAATTATAATATTGCTTACTATTCCAGTAAATGGAGCCATGGTGGTGAAATACAAGTTAGCGGCAATATCACAATGCTGGTTATTGATAAATTAATAGCTTACTCAGATTACAATGTAACAGTTAAAGCAAGTACCATTATTGGATTTGGACCTAAGAGTATCGGTATAATAACGAGAACATTACAAGCTGGTAAGTTTCCTTTGTTAATTATATCGCCTTTCTACAGCTTCTGCAAGTACTGACTGGTATTATGTTGATCTAATTTAATGATAGTATGAGTAGAATACGCGTGCACTATGTACAGGAACTTCTCGTACGCGATATTATTTGTTTCTTATTATATTTTCCATTTACCGTTATATTTTAGTTCCTAGTTCTCCTCCAACTAACGTTAGCATTATTCCGATATCTGCTCGGTCTATCTCAGTGAGTTGGCAGCCACCACCGATATCTGATCAAAACGGCATTATAACCAATTACAGTATCTCCTACTACTCCACTAAACGGAGTCATGGCGGTGAAATGCAAGTTAGCAGTGAAACTGCATCGTTTGTTATTCGTCAATTAATACCTTACACAGATTACAATATAACAGTTAAAGCAAGCACTATTATCGGGTTTGGACCTTACAGTATGGGTATATTAACAAGAACATTACAAGCTGGTAAGTATAGTACGCTAGTTACATCGCTTTCTTACGCCTTCTGCACCTACTAATACGGTATTATGCAGGTCTAATTTAATTATTATACGACTGTAGTATGCACAAGAACTTCTCGTACGCGATATTACTTATTTCCTATTATACGTATATTTCATTTACGGTTATATTTTAGTTCCTAGTGCTCCTCCAACCAATGTTAGCATTATTCCGATATCCGCTCGTTCTATCTCAGTGAGTTGGTTGCCACCACCGATATCTGATCAAAACGGCATTATAACCAATTATAGTATCTCCTACTATTCCAGTCAACGGAGTCATGGCGGTGAAATACAAGTTAGCGGCAATATCACATTGTTGGTTATTCGTCAATTAATACCTTACACAGATTACAATATAACAGTTAAAGCAAGTACTATTATCGGATTTGGACCTTACAGTATCGGCATATTAACAAGAACATTACAAGCTGGTAAGTATAGTACACTAATTGCATCGCTTTCCTACAGCTTCTGCAACTATCAATATCATGCAGATCTAACTTAATCGTACTACGAGTATAGCATTGACAAGAATTTCTTGTACTATATTACTTGTTACTTATTATATTGTTAATTTACCATTATATTTTAGTTCCTAGCGCTCCTCCAACTAATGTTAGCGCTATAGCGATATCCGCTGAGTCTATCTCAGTCAGTTGGCTGCCACCGCCGATATTCGATCAAAATGGTATAATAATCAGTTATAACATCTCCTGCTATTCTAGTAAATGGAGTCATGAGAGTGAAATGCAAGTTAGCGGGAATACCACATCGTTAGTTGTTCATAAATTAATACCTTACACAGATTACAATATAACAGTTAAAGCAAGCACTATTAATGGGTTTGGACCTGGCAGTATTGGTACATTGACAAAAACGTTTCAAGCTGGTAAGCTTGCCATTCATTTAATTGATCATAATGTTTAGCAACTACTAACATCATCTTGATATAATTTTCATTCAATTTATTATTATAGCACCTGCTAGCCCTGTAATACAGAACGTTTCCCTTATAAATAATAATAATACTGTCCGAGTTGGCTGGCAAGTAAGCTGAATGATTTTACTGATTTCAATAGTTATTACCGTTTGAATTAAATACAGCATCTGATGATTTTTTCTGGCGTCTATCAGTTACCGTTATAGTAATAGCATAGTAATACAAAAAGCATCGTAGGTAAAAGAACCTCCCAAAAAATGATTGATGAAGTAATTGTGTTAGATTTCTATAAAGACGTTACTTTCATCTACAGTATTCCTATCTATTAATTGAAACTATAGTTCATGATAATTTTCTAATACCAGTTAAACATATATTTGCCCGCGTAGTATTTAACTCCTAATGTAAACTGTTAACAGAGCGCCAAATATTATTGATCATGTCCTTAATAATACTATATTAGGCTTTATGATGTACCTAGATCTATGTTCGGCCATAATAAATTATATTGCCACCCAAGTAAATATGACTGCTGGTAATTCCAGTAGAAAGTAGTATTAGCAATTATTTGCTATATATTCGAAAAGATCAAAATATAACAACTTGTAAATTTGTCTATGCGATTGTAAACTAGAAGGGTAGTTGCTAGCCAATACTAAATAGTAGTTTTGTAGATGCAATTCAGAAGCGTAATAAAATTTACTTTATCCTCAGGAATATAAAAAGATAGTATCATGATGTTATTCTCAATGCATTTCATTTTATTTTACTATTATATAAACTAGTTAATACCAGAAAGACAACGTAATGGTATCGTTCTTGGATATTATATCGTCTTCCGTAATACCAAGTTTGGATTTTTCGATAATCGTACTATTTACGTTAACCAAACAACGACCAACGTCAACACTAGATATTATAGTGCTGCTAACCTAAAGTATTATTCAACCTATCTAATATTCTTATACGCTTTTACTGCTGCGGGCACAAGTCCAAAAAGCTTACAGAAATCGATTGAAACATTAGAATCAGGTCAGTATCCATGAAACTTTTAGTAAACTATCTTAATTTATTGCGTAAACAGTATTTTCAGGTAACGAAAAATTTATTTTACACTAGCTGCATGGATATTTTTACAAAAATTGGGCGCCATTACGCAATAAAATATTATACCAATTCGTTATAGGCTTATTAATATTATAAAGTTTAAGTATACCTGTAAACCTATCTACTGAACAAAGATATAATGTATAATAAGCGTACATATTGTTACTGAACATTCACTGTGTTTATATTGACTCGCAGTCCCTTCGGCATCTCCGATCAATGTAATGACTACATCTGGAACTTTAGCTGCTACATCAATCGTTATTAGTTGGAGTCCACCTCTGCTAGTCAATCAAAACGGAATTATCACAAAATACAAAGTATCATATTCCCTGCAAAATAAAAATAGTTTGTCTAATAGCACTATTATTACGCTCGGAAATGTTAATCAGCACTCCATATACAATTTGCTGCCATCTACTAATTATTCCATACTAGTAGCGGCAGCAACTTCGGTTGGCTTCGGACCATATAATTCACCCGTTACTCATTTAACTTATCCAGCAGGTAATCGACTAAATTTAAAGATTAAAATCATTTCACACTACTAATACAGTCTTTGATATTATTTGTAACCAAATGAAATAGTGGCTCCAAATGTAACCCAACAGCCTCGGAACAGAACTGTTGCAGCTGGAACAGATATAACCCTAGAGTGTAGAGCAACCGGTGATCCAGTACCTACTGTGCAATGGTTGTCCAATGGCCAATTAGTATCATCCATATACAGCGTTGTTACTAAAGCTGGTTATGGAAGTTTATTCATAAAGAATAGTAATACAGCAGATAATGGAACTTATCAATGCCAATTTACAAATAGTAAAGGATCAGTAATGTCGAACTCTGCCTATATATACGTTAATGGTAATCAAACTACTCCATTGAGTAGAAGTTTAAATATATTTTTAAGTCAACAGCAGCCCGATATTGCTTTTCATTTAAAAGTCATATACTAGCGCTAATAATTTCTAACGTATAGAAAAGCAATCGTTAGAATATACCTTGAAAGAAATTTATATTGATATCCTATTTCTTTTTTGTGATTATATGGTATATCAGATGGCAACATTACAGGGTTTTGTCTTGGTGAAATTACAAGTGATATGAAATGGTCTAAAACATATAACGGTTATACTGCGATAGCAAAATGCCCTGTATCTGCTAAAGGTAAAAATCTCTATTTTGATTTACATGTTAATTTTATCGCTTGCAGAATTGATTTCTAACACCCAATATACCTGTTATAAATAGTTTAATTTTGCAATTAAAGTTGTCTTCTATAAATTAAATATGATTCTATGATCAGGTAATGCTACTCGTTCATGTAAGCTTAATACCAATGGCAATTCCGTATGGGATGATATCGATACGACTAATTGTGAAACTCCATCATTTGATGTTCTATCGGTCTTGGTAAATATAGAAGCCACAGTAGCATTTAGTCTTTTATCATATTCTTACCTAACTAGCATACGTAAAAAGCTCATCTATAATGTTTAAAATTAGATTTATTGATAATAGTTATAACAATATTATTATTTTCACAGCATGTTCTAACAACGAATATACATGATAGTGATAGAATATATTCTCTTTAAGTTAATACGTGTGTGCATATTATGAAGATTGGAAAGCTTATATTGTACCGTACTCATCAATCTTAATTACACACTTTTCATAATTTGTAAATTGAAAATTGCACCTACAATTTCACGAATTACTACAATCACAATAATAACTATCGATTGTAATTGCCGAACTTGTATTACTAAGTACACGTAAAAATGATTTGAAAGCTGTATATATTATGCTACATATTTGGATAAAATCCTAATATAATTATTGACGGATATTTAACAGACTCAACAACTTAATACAGTGGGTACCAATTTTTCTGAAACCATTATCGATGGTTTAGTTAGAACGACAACAGGCAGAAAGTTATATGGCGGAGATATTGTCATATCCGCCTCTATATTATCAAAATTGAATGAAGTCATGCCGTCTGTTTCTGAATCAGAATTAAATGTAAGCAAAAGCAAATTTATTTTTCTTATAATAAACTGTACTGAGGTCTAGATTTGCTGATCTTCCCAGAAATTGGTCACAATTCAAAGTAATCTATTCAATACTCAAAATAAAGAAGGGTGGAAATTTTCCCAAAAGGTTCGAGAAAATAATTCATCCAATCTATCTGATACCTATATATCAAGTTTCAAATTCTTTATAGTATAGTGATAAGGATAATTATTTTGGACGTATAAGTAGTTTATATTTTTGAAATTAAGAAATTATCTTACATTAGCTAGTGAAGTACAAGAATTTTTGTAAATTGGAAATTGCTGTACATTTCTTTGCAGTTTTGCCGAAGCAGTAGTAACAACCAATCAATTTTAACGAACTTGGAAGAATTTGCTAATAAGGCGACTATTCTATCAGCAACCAATAAGACAACAGTAAATGCCAATAATTTAGGTAGGCGATAATTAACAGAGACTATTCGTGATATCCATTAATGTAAAATTATATTGTATATAAATCCATTTGGTAGTAATCATTGTTAATCTAAGCGTCACATAAAATGGAAATGGGTTCTAACGTACAAATTTTTGCTATACATTTATTAATTAAATCATATTCATGCAATAGTACGTGTATTATTTTGTTAGCATATTCTGTGGAATTTCTACGAGATTTGCTAGCATAAATAAATACGAGAAAGTAATTCGTGCACAGAATTTTCCATTGATTAGTCTGCCAAGTCTTTTCTTGCTGAAAAAGATTCATTCAGCTATACTTTAATAAGTATCAATTGCAACGATTATACAAGTGTAATTGCTGATGGTTAAATTTCTATCCATGTTTTTATTATTGAATCGCAGTGATAATGCATTCACAAAAGATATACAGTACATGCAACGATGAACTACTAGTAGAAATATATATTAAGAACTAGACTGCATATCCTAAGCAATTATAATTCTGTACCGCTATTTTATCCTCAGAAACACTCATTTGAGCCTTTTAATTGCTTTAAAGAGTCAGATAAACTACTTATGTATAACACTTACAAACAGACTATGAATGTATAAATTAAGATAAACTATTCTTTATTGGGTAAAATGCGATTTTCGAGCTTATGCATATGTCATAAGCTAGCTTCGTGACAAGGATAACGTAAAGTAAATTTCTAATTTACTAAAGTCTCCGGGATTCAGTATCGCTTAACTATCTCACAAGAATTTAGACGTCGTTGTTTCTACGTTAAACGACTAGAGAAGTCCGATTTTATTCAGCTATCTACTGAGCTTAAATACCTTTCGGCAGCAGCTAGTATGAATGAGTCATCATAAGATTATGAAATTTAATTCATACTAAATAAGTAAATTAATACAGAAATATTTATAATCGTAGACATGTACTGAATGATTCTTGATAATTAGACTACAGTATGCCCATTCACAGAATTATTCATGGCATCGTCTATAGTTGAATATCTTCAGGATATTAATCACAAGCGTCACAAGACATAGCACTATAATAAATTAACATCTGTTACTATATAAAAACTCTTACTACAACTGTGCAGCATAATTTACTGTAAGAAATAATAACTATTGTGGTTCTTACTGTAAGCCATTAATAATTGCCATCATATATAAATGTTAATTTACTAAATTTAGTCATTTAACTCTTCGTGGTAGTTCGTACCATAACAGTATAGTAATAGATTAATAATTATACAAATTGTCTGAAAATATTCTGTAACTTGAAGCTGTCGCAATCTATGACCTTGATGGTGTATCTGCAAGTTCTGATTTTCACGTTACCGATGGTACAAATATGGCAACCGGAATACGAATTTCACTGCCTAAGGCTACAATCCAAAATAATCAACGTATGTACTCTTGTGTACTGTTTATTTGATACTTGCTTCTACTATCAATGGAATTATCCAAGTTATTTTAATAGCGTAATATTAAATCTAAAGTAGTATTTTACTATAATATTATTGTACAACTGCACCAATAGAAATACGAATTGTAGTACGTTAGCTAAACTAATCAAGATCGTCCAGAATATTTTTTAGTTTCAATACTTAAACAGGATTTATTTTCTCAATAATTGGCATAGTTATCAAAGCTGTCGTCATCACTTATAAAACCCTTAAGGAAATGATACCTTCTTCATCAGCTAACTCAAGGTATCTCAAACTACTATATATAAAATTTAATTTTTTGAGAACATTATTTAATGATGTTATAGTCACTTTTATGATAGTATTTTGAAATGGAATAAATATATTATTAAAGCAGGAATCTTTAGAAAAGATTATTACTTCTACAAATTATAACTCCGCCTGAACTATAGTACAGAAAGTAATTAATACTGAAAATGTGCTACTATTTGGGTATAAAATATATTTCTTTGTTAATACGAATAAGTTACTAAGTAATATGTAGCTATAATCAAATTATAATTAGTAGAGATTTTGACTCGACTTTCAATTTCATATTAATGCTTGAAACTATCGTTGCCATAATTTTGGGATGTATTTATTTTTCTCTTTTCAATGAAAGTGTTGCGAGCAAAGATGATATTAATTTCGGTTGATAATATCATTTTGAACTTATAAATTAAAAACTACTTAGTATCTTTAACACGTTTTTAATGGTTCTAATAGAACTTATCCTTTCAATAAATCTAAGATCATCGATACACGTACAAAGCAGAGTACTATAATATCATTTTCTAATCTACTACACCATTATAATATACGTTTTCCTACATTTTTGTAGCAACATTAATCCAGCTGGTAGTACTATTCAAATTAATTCTCAAATTATTTCCATATCATTCTATCCTGATCGATATGGAAATCTCTCTCATCCTGTTCGAATAATATTTGAAAATACAAATGTTAGTTAAGTATATCATTACTTAAAAATACTTAATAAGGCAATGATCAATTAATTTCCTTAAAACAGTTTGTTATGATATATCGACTTTATCATATTATCGTGTTTAATCTAGACAATTGAAAATAAGAATACAGCGAAAGAAAACGTCTGCGCATTTTGGGCTTCGGCACCAAGGTAAGTAAAAACTATTACAATTATTGTACACCGACAATTCAATAACCTTCATAGCATTTGCTAAAGTAAACAGAAAATCTTAATTCATTACACTGATTCAGTAGACCTGTCTTATACGTCATCATGAGTTTTCCTCCAACGATATCATAAGATTTCTATCTGATGATGTAGCACAATTTTTCAATGTGAAACATATGTGTATGTACTAATACCAATTTGAAGCTCCTTATCATCATGTCGATTTAAGACCTAGATGTGATAGTAAACTTAATCTTAGAAAACTATTATTGCATACTGTAGCCTGATCTTAATAGAATTAACCGATGAGATCTTCTGTTGCAAAGTACCTTATTACGGCTTAGCAACATCAAGTTAATCGAATCGTTGTAGGCAATTTTAATACATATTACAATTATAATTAACAGCACACTATTTGGTTTCATTTGAATTTTGAATTGATAAATAGTCAATGCGGATGGGATTCAACAGGTTGCCGGACTGGATCTGAATCAAATTCAACACATACAGTCTGTTACTGTAGCCATACTACTACATTTTCCGTTATAACAAGGGATAAGTTGGTACGAGTCTGTAATCATCATTTTTATTACTTTTATGTAATTGCGCCCAATTATTAATTATATAGGAATACCGTACTCATGCTATTTTAAAAAACTGTTACATGTGTCTATATAGAATTCTGCAAGTATTATTTCTTGTCAATTAATTATCAATCTCACATAGGTTCAGAGTCTTCAAATTGAAGTTATCACCTATATCTGTTGTGGAATAGCCATCGCAGTCTTGGCCCTGACCATTGCTATTTTTGTTATGCATTGGAAGTTAGTATCGGCTAAGTATTAATATACCTATAATATAAGTCAGGTTACTGGTCTATACGTTCCTGAGTAAATATTGTGAAGAAATGCTATAGATTGAATAAGCAATACCCTTTCGTATACCAATCCAAGATATTACTCACCTTTTTATAATAAAACCATAGCAGAAGTTTATTATTGATTTTAATCACTTTCTAATAGGGTTGCATTAAGTTTCTAATAAGTACCGCAGTTCATAGTTCTTGTAAAGTCCCAAAAAAGAGAAAATTTAGACTAATGTCATTGATAATAAAATTCAATCCTTCTATAGCACGAATATTTAATACTTTTTACTGTTACTGTTAGGGACGTCAAGAGCATCGTAAATGTCATGAATATCAATATATTTTTATGCCTCCTGATGATTAACATTTTGGTGATATCTGGATTAACAGCGATTTATTGGAAGGTGAATCAAATCTTTTCTACATTTTTATCATATTTAAATGGAAAAGTAAACCTTTCTTTTAATTGAAATGATGTGTAATCTTAATTTACAGCCTCTGTGTGTTGCGATTTCCATTTTCTTGCATTACATCTTTTTGGCTGCCTATTCTTGGTTATTAAGATGTGCTATTTGCATGCATTATCTATTTGCCAAAAATAAATTGGCACCTGGTAGCATTATGGGAAATTTTTTGACATGCTGTAGTAAGTAGAAACTAATACTTTACGATAAATCATAGAACGCTATATTGTATATAGATATGGTTGCTTTTGACGGAACAAAAATTTTAATATATTCTTAACATTTTCAAATTGATTGCAGTTTTACCTGCAACCATTCCAATCCTAGTTGGGATAATACAAGTGTCCCGATATGGATTTGATGGATATCTAAGCCATTACGCGTAAGTTTCATAGACTTAGGATAAGAGTATAGAACAAAAATTTTATGTTTTACTCGTAATTGAACGATCTACTTAGTTAAGATGGTTTAATCATTTCTATCATTCATGAAAGCTAAAATTTATCTTAACTACATAGGTGTTGGTTAAGTACTACTCCACCTGTGGTTGTGACTTTTATCATTCCTATGATTTTACTAGCTTTGGTATGGCATGCATGGCAGTCACCTCAAAATTACAGATCAAACTGAATCCTATTTTTTTCTAACTACGGTACTATAAATCTGTCAAAACAAAATATAATTACATATTATCTGAAACTTTTAGGCAGCACTCATCTACAATGTATTAACTACAACAAGAGCTAGCAGTAACGCTAGAGTTGTTTACGATTATAATGATGAAGAGCTCGAGATAAATAGGTAAAATATCTATATATTAGACTTATTTAATATATATGAAGTTAGCGACATTAAGTTCTTTTGTATTGCTGTAAAATCTGATTTAAGCCTAGTTGCATCGGAACATTAATATTAACAAGGCTCATTATTTTTTGTAATTGATTTCTGTTCAGAAAAAATTTTCGCCAATCCTTCGTAGTCTTAGTGACTTTCATTATGACTAGTATATTGTTTGTGGCATTTACATCAACCAAAGATATCGTTTGTCAATATATCTTTGCCATTATCAGTCTGATTCAAGTAAGTCTTCAATTAATCATTCTTACCCGTAACTCATGTAAGTCAAGTTCACATCTGCAGTAGTTATGTATTTACTGGTCTAATATACTGCGTATCTTTATAGTAAGTATAAAGTGTTTTTCTCGTATGTTAATTATAAAATTCTTGTACCAGATCGCTAGCGTAACACTAATGAAAAATTAAAAAATCTCATTGATGCATGATTCTTTAAATATAATGTGAAATGCTATACATGATAACGGACGTTACTTCTCAATAATTAATCTTTCGTTATTGAATAATATCATATGCTATACAATTTAGAAAGGATTTTTAATCAAAATTGATCAATTTATACCAATTTTTATACTATTGGGAGTAGATATGGGTACTGGGTGGAATATAATAGTGTTCAAAAGCTAAATGTAAACATTCTGCCTGATATTATTTAACTTACAGTACTTCTCTGATTAACTTGAGTCAAGCAAGAAATGAATTGCCAAAATACTATATTATTATAAATACAATAACTAATGCTAACTTATTAACCGATTTCTTATTATAGAGCATTTACATCTTGCTTTTTTATGCCCTTAAGAACAAAGAAGTATGTAGCATGGCATAGGATAAAGTCTTGAACTTATTAATTATTGTGTTCTTAGATTATAGATTGCATGTTATATATCACAAAATGATAACGCTATAAATCGTAGATGATAATATACTCATTTATTAAGGATCGATCAACTTGAAAATTTATTATTGCTATAATTGGCGTCCATAAGACTATAACTAACTGCTATAATATAATTGAATGATATAGATTCAATGCTACTAATTCATTCAGAGAATAATTTAACTAACTCTCTGTATTGACATAGATACAAATGGATTGTAAATCGAAGGCAAAAAATCATACAGCGTATGAATTAAAGCCAACTAAGGGCAAATCTTCGTAAGTTGATAATTGATTCAAGGAACACACCGCCTTGAGTAATTGAGACAATTGTATACGTACAATAGCTGATATTTCAATCTTAACAAAATATATCATACACTCGCATTTATATAACGTATATTTCACTTTATACCGTAGATCACACTTAACGCCAGCGAATTATAACAATTATGAAGATGTAGGTGAAGACGCAATTTATCAGGTAAAAAATTTTTTACTGTCAAACAAGTGCTATAAAACAACTGATACAAAGTAATGTATTCATTCTTTATGATAAAAATAGGAGGTGGATTAAAGACTTCAATAAAAATAGTAAAATGTTCGAATGGCTTATGCTTTATTTAGTTGCCCAGTTTTACAAATTATTCAACTAAATTTTGAATATAAATAAGTACATATATATAAGTATTATCAGGAATTGAACTTAATTAGAACAGTTTCATCTGTTCATTGATATCGTTTATGATTGGCATTTATCAAGACTATTTTCTTAATATCAACATTTACAAACGAAAACTGAACAATACATTTAATTATTACTACGTGGATAATTTAAAATAGCAATTACATCACAGCATGACTGATTAAGCGTTTTATGCTTCGTATTCATAAAGTGAATTTCTTGTATTGATTTAAAAATTTTAATATGTTAGCTTATGTTTACTGTGATTCTTGCCCACCGGTAGGTGTATAGTATAAGTAACTTGTCTAACGTGGAGTTTTAGTTCTATTTTCAATTCAGATGTTTGTATACGGGTATTGATTAGGCAACATTAATAAAAGGTATTGCATAAGCAAATGGTATAATAGAATTTAGAAGTATGCCACAATACTTACATGATATAGATAAGATCACAAATTATGAGAAGAAAAAGCTAGATGGGATGATTGTAATCAAACTTGACCGGCTACTTAAAATATTTCACTTATTTTTAAAATTGGTGATGAGCAATATAAAATACTAGGAATAGAGGATTGCTTTGAAAAGGCATATAAGTCTGGCAAAATGCCAGAATTATGTTTCAATTACTCCATAAGAGGGTTTAAACTAGTTAAGGATAAGAAAGAATTTATAATACAGTTAATGGAAAGTTATCATATCATTTGCAAGATTGAAAGTGAAAACTGTGATCAAAACGACGGGTATGGTCGTCAATATTTTGTGCCTTATTGGCTGCATTCTTCGACTGAGTTACGGCTTACTGATTATTTCCAGTCTGTTTGGCTATCTATTGGATACGAAATTGCGTCGTATATTCCGGATGGAATATTTATTGCCATTTATCAACATCTTTAAAAGTGAGCAAGAATCCACAAGTAGAAGTCTATCATCGATTTATAAAATAGTATATACCGGATTATTAATGTGAGATTATTATCAAGAAAGAGGACTGTTATATAGGCTTAAATTACTGCTACAAGAATGTCTTGTAAAGAACTAATGGTATACGTTGAGGAACGTATTAAAAGTTTAGTTAATATGATCAAATCCATAATATGATAAAGAATAAGTTAAAAGAAGTAATTAATGACCAAATGCCAAAGTTTAAATCTGCACAATATGAATTTTACGTAAAATACTCTACATACAAAGGACTAACAAAAGCAATCAATGGTCTAACTGGCAAGAAAGATATAATCTGGTGTTTGCTGTGTGTAAGGTCTTATTTCAATCGATAACAATTCGTAAATAGCAACTTTTTACGGAAAATTAATTGGCATGATAAAGCAAAGAGTTGAGTGTTAAAATTTTATAGTGTGCTTTTTGCATTCTTGATTTTTGAATTTTTAACATAATATGCCACGAATCTTCATCTTTATAAACTGTAAAAAAGTAGACTTTTATTTTAAGTTAGTTTGACCTAACTTGTTTTATCACGAGGTCACTGAATAGAGTTAATTTGTAGTTAGTCTTGTAGCAATCAATTATGAGTATTAAAGAAATAAATCTGATAAAATGTATCTATTATTTAGATCAACCGCAACAAGTTGAAGATGAATATAAGACGCCAGTAATATCCAGCAGTCATGGTAATTTATTTACTGGTGAAATTTTATAGAAAAATTGACTTATCTTTTGTTTCATTGCCAATCATTTTTCTTAAGCTGTTATAATTTCCTTGAAAAAGTAATACTCTTACTCGCACTTTATAATTCATTAACACAAAATATTAAAACATAATATTAAACTTAAACAATAGAAATCAAAGTTTTTTACCTTTAATATTAATTTGTTCATTTACAATTACAGATCTTTACCAGGAAGAAAATTCATCGCAAATTAGTGACGGTAAATTATATTGCCTAGCCTACAATGTCGATTCAGTCAATACAGTATCTAGCTAAGACGATGGTAATTCTTCGATGTTGCACAAAAAACCATTATCGTAAAGTTATAGCTGCCATTATCAAATAACACTGTTTAAGTAACTTTATTACAACTGAAAAATAGACGATATGAATACAGCTATAGCTCGCTTTAGTCGCATCTTTATTACACTATTTTTAAACAGAACTAACTACTCATTTTCCATAGTCACATCATCATAGCTAAAACGGTTCAATAAATGGATAGTCATAAATTGAAATAATTTTTACTGGTAGATGTAGGAAATAGCTAGCGTAGTGACAACAGTGATATTAACGCCATAAACTTACAACATACAGAAGTCGAAGCCATAAAAAAATTCATGGGTGAGTTTCCAGCATAAACGTTTTGATACTGATATGAGTGGATTTATTTTTATCCATGCTTTCTTCCTAGAGACAATTGAAAATAGTCGAAGCAATCTGTCAATAGAAAATGACTTTGTAACGAAATTGATTTCAGTTTATTCAATGTAAATAACTATAAAAATTAACAAATCAATCAGGCTCTAATCAAATTAATAAATACTATTGTATATTAATTCACTTATAATAGAGAAATGTTATTCCAGTGTCATAAGTAGAATTGGAGATCGACGGGTTTAATTAGCAAAGCATTTATACCTTTCCGATAACAATGTTGATAATCTTAATCGACAATACGAAACTTTAAGTCAACATTCACATTTACCGAAATCGGACAAAATGTTAAATTATTGGCAGGAGAAGAATCCTTCAAAACATCATTTACTGACATTAGTAGACATTCTATACGATCGCCAACAACACGAAATAGCAAATTCTCTTAACGATATGTTATTGAGAAATCAATCACATCCTTTAGTATCTAAATATATCTTAACCATTTTACATGGTAAATATTCTAATTGTGGTCAATTTCAGCAAGATATCTGTTACGATGCGTAAGCACGTCCTAATTACGTGTGGCGACTGTATATAAGCCCGAGTAGAAAATATATCGCTCAGTTGATACTTCTCTAGTGTACGATAAGGTACTATACTTTCGTTGTATGAAGTAAAAACTCATAAAACTAATCTTACAACAAGCCGCTTATTATACTTGTGAGGAAGTTGTTAGTCTTACAGTATCTCTCCGTAGTTAGTTGGAGTGACTAAGTAGCTCGTAAGTTAGTTGATTACTCACATTAGAAGGAGTAGGTAGTGCGGTGTGAGTGACACCTATGAATATGTTAATCAATTGAAATAGCTAAATTAAAGTAGGTGCTGAATATCCTGAAATGAAATATTGCTAATGTAGTTGCAAAACTGTGAGCTACAGTAACTACTGCATCATTAGTAGCTAATAGTACGTTAATTAACTACCCATGCTTGCTCTATAATATACTGTACTGTACATAAGTGTACAATAAATTAATTAATTTATGCATCCTAATCTTAGCGATTAATAGCATACGTAATATTATGACATTGGATGAAATTAAACAGTTAGCCAAAGATTGCGGATTGTATGAAGATGACGAAACATTTCAAAGTACAGTATGCTACAATACTTACATGATATAGGTGAAATCGAATATTGTAAGAAGAAAGAGCTCGATGGCGTGATTGTAATCAATCTTGACTGGCTATTCAGAATATTTCGGTTATTTATTAGAATTGATGGTGATAAACACGTTTACAGATATGCAGGAGTAGATGATTGCTTTGAAACGGCTTATAAGACAAATATAATGTCAGGATTGCGTTTCGAGCACGCCATAGCGAAGTTTAAGTTAGATAAGAAAGAGAGAGAGTTTATTTTACAGTTAATGGAAAGTTATCATATCGTTTGCAAGATTGACAATGAAAACAGCGATCATGACGGTCGCTATAGTGGGCAATATTTTGTGCCATATTTACTGCGTTCTTCTACGGAGTTACGCCTTACTAATTATTTTCAATCAGCTTGGTTATATATTGGATACGAAAGAGCATCGTATAGTCCGGATGGAATATTTTATTGCCATTTATCAGCGTGTTTAAAAATGTGGAAGAATCCACAAGTAGAAGTCTATCGTCGATGCGTAAAATATTACATACAGGATTATCAATGTGAGATTATTATCAAGAAAGAGGGCGGTTACATAGGCTTACAATACTACTATACGATGCCTTCTAAAGATCTAATAGCGGACGCTGAGGAGTGTATTAAATAGGTAATTAATGTGATTAAACCTCATAACATGATAAAGGAGAAGTTAAAAGAAGTAGTGACAGATAGAATGCCAAAGTATGAGTCTACAAAATATGAATTTTATGTAGAATGCTCTGAATGTAATGAGCTAACCAAGTGGTTAATCACATAACCGGTAAGAAAAATATAATCCAGTACTTGGAGTGTAAGGAATTTTTTCAATCGAAACCACTTCGTGAATGGCAAATGCTTGAGAAAGAGAAATTAGCAGGTATGATACAGCATCAAGTTGAGAATAGAAATTTTATTATTTGTTTTATGTATTGTTAATTTCTGGATTGTTTACCTGGCTAGGTGTACATACAATGTAAAAAGTGCGCAGGTGGAAGTAGTACCGAATATTAATAAATAGAGGGCATAAATTTTTACTATGATACATTTTACGCTTTGAATGATGGAAATTGCAATAGTGCAAACTTATATTCAATAGCATATACAGTATATTCAAAATGCAAGTGACTTTTAAAACATAAACGCTCCCTTCTTGATTTTACTTTACTAGCCATTTTAATTGTTATATATTGTAGTAGAGGGGAATTATATGAGGGTTAGGCGAATTAGTTAGGTTTGCACAAGAAATTTTATCAATTAGGAACTATAATAACCATAATCGTTTATCACATAAATAAATGATAGTTGCGTTTATCAAACCAACACTTTATCGTGTACCGTATTTGCTAATAGAAAATTGCAATTATCAGTATTGAAGAATTTGATTGAGTGGTCCCGTTGATTAATTATTTAGATCAACCACAACGATTCCAACAGGAATATGAGATACCAATAACATCTGGTAAACTATGTAATTTTATTTGTGTATGAAATCTTATAGTAAAATTGGTATGATCTATAATTCATCTTTGATCCCTTTTAACGAATGTTACTATATTCTTAGAAAAAGTACTATCTTGCATTTCACTTATCAAATACATATAAAGCCATATACCAAATTCTTTCCAGATTTCTGCAATTTATGACCTCAAAATGCATGATAATGTGAAATAAAAACAAGTTTGAAGTATCTAAACAGACTATCGTAATGATACTACATAATTTTTGTAAATGCCATCGTAATTAGTCGAGTAGTGATAAGAGTTTAAACATAAATCTCATTTATGCATTTAGAATAGTGCTATGATAGGCCAAAGTTGCTTAAATTGGACAAGTTGATAGAATTTGTCAAATTGATCCAATCTGTACCATTCTATTCTGTTATATTGACAAGATATTAAGTGTAGAGTTCCTTTATTGATAGATCTTAAACCTATTGTACAAGAACCTGCTATTTTTCGACAAGGAGGAATGCAAACTCAATGGGCTATAGATCCATTACAAGATGGTAAATTAATGATAATAGCCTATTTGTCACAGTTATTTTCCAAAGAACACAACAGCTTGAAATGCGACTTAGTACGGACAATAAGAACAAGATCTCAGAGGCCATACCATCTTGAAATTTAGAGCTGCATGTGTGCCTAGGATAAATTTTGACGTAATCATAATATTACGATATGAAATCTACCAGATAAAATAGCTAATGTGGTGTTTAGCTATTTCAGTAAAATAATACTTTATGCTCTTACACTATTACGCTCAATTAATTAATGCTATCATATTTGCATTTCAGATAGTAAGAGAAATCAATGCTTTATCATTATTGCCGATAATATGGACGGAAAGAGGTTGAAAGAATTTGGTTTGAAGTTAGGCTTGTCTTCTATTGATGTTGAAGATATTGTCGATAACAGTGACGAAAGATTTGCAAAGTGCATGAACTTATTAAGAACATGGTATTCTAAATTTGCTCCAAAAGTCAATTGGAATAATCTATTGGAAGCCTCACATACTTGTAAATTGGCAAATATAGGTGAAAAATTGGTAAAGACATTTACTGCTGATAGTAAATTCCATCTAAAATTATATACAAGACTGAATCAAACATGAAGGAAGAGTTGGTGTAGCAAGGCTACTCGAAACCTTAGCTTGCACACCGAATCGAACTTTAAGGAAGGATAGGAGCAGCTAGTCGAATAGAACACTGAATCAGATTTTAAGGACGAATAGGTCTAATAAGGGAAACTTTAGAGTAATCAATTCAATCTAATCGAATATAAGACTGAATTTAGCTTGAGGCAATAATACGGCTTATTCGAAATTTCTGATTGAATACCGAATCAACGTTGAAGGAAGGATAGGTGTTACCAGGCCTATTGGAAATAGTTTAAGGTGATGGAAATAAAGTTGTAATCCGGCAGAATAGCAATTAGCGCCGTACGGTATTTATTGACAGATACGATCATGCCTTATTGATGACAGTTCCATCATTTCACACCCATATGGACTTCAACAGAATAATAACTTAACTGACGATTGAAACTATGATCCAAATGAAGTTCTAATCAGGCGGACTAGCCATAAACACCGTCAGGTATTTATTGACAGAAAAGATTGCGCTTTGTAAACGGAAGTTCAATCTTTTTACACCCATATGGACGTCAATTGTCTGAGAAATGTCATTAGCCCATCCATAGATTGCTGCCTACAGCTTCAATCAATCTTCTATTTGTATCCTTTGAGATGGACAGCGAGCGCTTTCCAAATTGCACACTCGCATTCGTCATGATTGTCAATGCTTGTATCGACTATTTTACTTTCAAAAGACATCATTACTTATCGTAGGGGCTGAAATCATTTAAAGGTTATTTACATTATTGTCGGTATGGTCATATTCTATCTTTCTGTATGAAATATTTGGGTTGTAGTTATTGGATAGTCTAGTATATCAAGGACTGAGATGCCTGTAGACTAACAACCAAGTCTACTAGCTATATTCAATTAAAGCAAGCATACTACTAGGTATTACTGTTCTTTACATATTACCCAATGAACAAGTAAAATTGCTATCGTGCTCATTCCTTGCTAATATTCATCTTCTTATCAACAAGGAGCTCGGTCATAGCTTATGATAGTTTAATCGCTACTAATCAGATTCTACCTTGAGTAGTATACCTAGAATAATTCTATTCAATGAATGCGAGTAGCAACTCGAGATTACTCATCTTCATCGATTCAAAATTACCGGATGAAGGACCATTAGTATCGTTACTCATTGCTTGCTCATATCCCTATAATGAACAAGTAGGAGCTTTACTCATGATATTTAAATCACTACTGTACAACGCTATTTGGGCATGATCGGGTTCTACCTGAATAGTATACTTACTTTATTTTACTCATGATATTTAAATCACTACTGTACAGTGCAACGCTATTTCGATATGATCCAATTCTACCTGAATAGTATACTTACTGTATTTTACTCATGATATTTAAATCACTACTGTACATGCAACGCTATTTCGGCATGATCCGATTCTACCTGAATAGTATGTTTACTCTATTTTACTAATAATATTTAAATCACCACTATACCACGTTATTTCGGCATGATTGGATTCCACTGAATAGTATATTTACTCTCTTCTACCAAATGTAACTCGTAACTATCATTATCTAATAGTAGCTTATTTAATGGTCATTACTAATGACATTGAAATCACTGCAAGGTCATTTACTTTAGACAAGATCAGATTGTACCTTGGTAGTATACGAATGAATGCAAAGGAGCAACTACTTTAGGTACCACATTACTGTATTTACATATTGCTCAATGAGGCACCATTTGCTCTGCTACCATTCAATTCTTGCTGGTTCTTTCTATTATCCAATAAGAGTTTGGTGATAGCAATTGGCAAATGATATTGAAAGCATCATCCTGGCAGACCGGATAATAAACTGTTCTAGAGTGTCGCTATCTGGGATCACTCCGCTTTGCTATAAGACAGGTATCACCTTGAAAGCGGAGTATTTTAGCGCATTGACTTGCTGTCGTAATATCGCCTGTCCTGTAAACTACTGCTTGTTACCTTGTAGGGTACGCGCCATAGAACGTGGGGAATCCTCGATATCGTACAATACTATTTACGGCGATCAAATGCTACAAATGTTCACGTGGATTAGGATGTGGTATTAAAGTTATGTTCGTACTAGGGCTGATTTATTGTCACAGTTCTAATGTCTGGTTAACGTGTATATGATATCGCGCTTGGCTTGGGCTTCTAAATAAAGTAGACTAAAGGATAGTAAAGCTCAAAATCTCAGATTCTTGATCTCGTTCCACTTGCAACCAGTTCTCGATACTAATACCTACCCATATGACCTATAAGCAAAATGGAATATTTGCATCTCTGCAACTTGAGCAATGAAAGTGTAGTAAAACCGCCAAAGTGTATCCATCATGTACCGTACAGATATCCATTGCAAACTATTCTAGTCTGAAAATGGAGCACAACAAGGACATCGGTACAGCAGATCCACATTGGCTATAGAGAATTGTAATCCAATTATACGAGCATACGCGTCTTTAATTTTTGAATGACAGTATATATCTATACAACATTGATTCATTATCATTATTATTGAGCACCATTAGTGGGCTAGCCCATTTTTATCCCGTCAGTTTTCTCGATTGAAAATATCCAACCCATGCCAGGCAGTTTGCAGTCTATCGGCCACCTGCTGCTAATAATATCATCGAGCAGTACAGGCTAGTTCAGAAAGAAAAGATGAACAAGAAATTGTCTCCAAATTGTCAGCCCAGCATGCTGCTCGCTACACAATCATCGGTTGCTACGTACACCATGATGTTGACTCAAATCGAGCAGTATAGTACAGGCTAGTTCAGAAAGAAAAGATGAGCAAGAAATTGTCTCTAAATTGTCAGCCAGCTTGCTACCCGCTACGCAATCATCGGTTGCCTCGATACGCCATGATGTTTTCCCAAATAGCAACTTGTGTGTCAGGACTTCAGTACTTTCTATGCGCTATACACTGTACAGAGAATGGCTGCGTACTGTAGAATTTGCCCTTTAGCACCTGTTGTGGATTTTGCATGGAGTTTCTTTACAGTACATTGTACTGGGTCCTCCAGGCAGGTACTGTACTCTCGGACAAGAAATTGCCTGAGGGGATTTTCTGAAAGGAGATCAGAATGAACAAGCAAGGGGGAAAAAATGGCCGCAAAATAACCAGGTTAACACCTAGCGCCCTTCTAACTGCAGGGCTAGCAAAACTAGTTCAAAAATTGGAAGAAATGAAGTGGATCGTAATGATGATGATGGGAGTGGAATGCCACGCCAAACGGTAGTCCAGCATCAACAGATACAGTAGGCAGAACCATGACTGAGCATTGCATGCCTTGATTCTTAGCAGATACTGTATAGTGTATATCCTTGTTAATACATGGATAATCTCAATATCCCACTAAAGTAGAACAACAATCACTTACTGATGTCTTTAGCATGGTCTAGTAGTCAAGTAGACTCAAGACGCCACTGATAGTCGAAAGTAGTGACTGAGGTAGTAATCACGGAAGGATTCAGCTGTCAGCACTATATAAACAACGGCTGCGAGAAGACGATTAATTCGATTATGTCATGGATCATATTCCAATGTTCATTTCTTCTTTTTACTCGCATCTGACAGCGCCTTGGAAGAGCGTCGACGAAAACAGCTTACGGTTTGCTATACAGTCGACTATTTTCTGACACATGCTGTTCAAGACGAGTTGAAAGCTCTAGCCAATCGATCCCTAAACTATCAACAATATACGAACAAGGCGCAATATTGCTAGGATCAATCAGAATGTTTTTCAATCTTTTGACACAGCCTTTTTTTACTTCAAAGTTGCATTTTAATATGGGGTTCAATGTCCAACATGGACCACTACAAAACAATCAAATCAGACCAAACTATCCTTTTATCCAACATTTTATTGCCATTGATATCAAAATTACACTACATAGAAAATGATACAGTAATGTTTTGCATACAAGTAGTAAAACCAAGAGTGTGAGCAGTACCTAATTCCATTCTAATTATCAACATCAGGCAAAGGACGACCATTCCAACAGGATAGCTATTTGCACTTTGTGTCGTCCTTGTGCCAGTTACAATACAAAGAAACAGTATCAATTTATTGTACATTCATGTTGAGGTAACATTCAATAGCTATTCGTTTATCTCATGGATATGAATACGCATTGAAACATTCTTTTCCATGAGTACTTGCTATACCGTGTAGAATTAAAATTGGCATGCTTGTAGCCTTTATTAGAAAGGAGAAAAAATTCCATGTCGTGGACATCCACTATCGTTGTAGCGCACAATCATCAACTATTCTAGCTTCGAGGACAAACAAGACGATCTATTCAATCTATCGCCTTTTACGTACTATCTTTGCAATAGAATTGACAATATTCTCCATTGCAAGCCGGCAAGGAGTTGTTACAACAAATTAGAATAGTATAAATAAAATGCCAATGTCATTACAAAGTATGATACAGTGTAGGAATAAAAGTACAACTTGGGTAGGCGCTTTACAGCTCATCCATAACATGAATTCAATTGGACAAGCACCTTGCTGTCCATCAACATTGCAATGAAAATAGAAAAATGAAACAGGAATTCAACAGTCTAATTGGAAATAGCCTACCATTACAATTGAATAGACTGTATATACAGGACCGACAAGACCGCCAAGTGATGGCGCATTAATACTTTATAACGGTTAATACACATTAATTCCGTTAGAATGCAAATTGAATCTTAGTCAATAAGACAGTTTTGAAATTAATTATCAGTCGATAGCGGAAAGTATTGATTGAACAAGATCAAGCGTCGTTGTAATACATTACTGTAACAGTTATGGGCAGAATTGAATGGGATGATTGTAATTTTGGACTATCAGATAGTCGCTATCATCATCACAGAAAATTAGATGATAGATTATTACGAATAACAATGCAACGTTCCACGGCGAGTCAACATGAATTCAAATCTCACTGTGATGATGCATGACCATGGTGTAGGCCTAATTTGGCACTAATTTTGGAACACTTTCATTTGTAGTTCCATTGGTGGTAGTAACATGGACATGATAGATTCATTTCTACCGTACGCGTATCACCAACTTGAATAAAGTAGTACTATTTCTATTTTATGACAAGAAAAAAGCAAAAGGACAAATACTGGAAACTTGTTTAGGCTAACATTTAGATCAGAGTATAAAAGAGTTCATCTATATATATTAAATATATCGATTTGTTGACAATATAGGGTATCATTTTGAAGTTGTCTGTTGATTTACAATTGGATGATTGTTCTTCAAACTGTTGTAAAACATGAATCCAACTAGACATACTTGCATGTGTTGTGTTGAATGTGATCATCATGTAGAATGACAACGATTGATCACTGGCATTTGCATGTTGACCAACATGGGGTAAAAATCCTACTGGTATCACTAGTGCAGTCCATCGATCACTTACTGGTCATGCCTAGGTATGGAGTCTACCATCGATTGATTTCATGACAACATTGAATTAAAATCGGGTTTTAGGCTTACTTTGCTCCCATTTGGCAATATTGGGCAAGCTGGAGACTTTATGATAAAGATCACGTAGTTTAGGATGACTACACCTTAAATAGCGTTTACATAGATTGATCATACGATAAAATGCTAAATCGGCATAAGTTAGTTGGTCACCAAGTAAGAAATCTCCACCATCTCGAATATAGAATCGTTCTAAACGATCTAAGAAATCGGGCATAATACAATCGCGAAATTCACACTCCAAGCGTGTTTTCTTTTCTTCATTGCGCTCAAAGAAAGCAATCCGGTAAAATTTTTCAAGAATATCATTGCAAAAGGCGTCGGCTAACATATCCGCTTTGGCTTGCTCTAAACTATCTTTACCGGCTAATCCAGCCATTCTAGCGACATAGCGTACAATGGCAGAACTTTGGGCAATTTGGACACCATCGACTTCCAGTATGGGTACTTGGCCGAATAAGAAATCATTTTGTTCTTTGATGCGTGGCCAATCTTCTTTCTCAAATCGCACATCTTCAAATTCAATCTCGCCGTGGGCTAAAATAAGCCTGATTAATTCAGCGCGTAATTCAACATTAAAATAAATCAATCTTATATGTGTCATTTTATGCTTGGATTCGGTGTTGATCAACGTTGATGTTGCTGCACATAGACTTGTAGCAATGATAAAATGTTGAAAAAAAAGCAATCTACTATCAACAATACGCCCAACAGCGTTGACTTTGGACAGTAATAGTGTAGGACTGGGTTGGATTTCCTGAATCGCACACGACCAGTACTACGACTACTACTACTATCAATTATAGATACTAATAATGACTAGAGCTATTGTCGATAATGACTCTGATGATGGATCGGTTTTGCCTTTCCTTCCCTTGAAGAATGATATCCAATTGGATTCTACTCTCGTCAATATTGCTTGTGAAGGCAAGACTAGGATCGTTGTGTGGAAAATTCTTTCTTGGCAGTGGCGATGAAACACTAGCGTATGCTATTGGTTTGACTATGCGATTGATGATGACTTGCTTGGCAACAAGGCGAAAAAAAAAAGGGCACAATTCCACCCAAGATCAAGTTCAGTGTCAATGATAGACAAGTGAGCTAAAAGAAAGACAAGTTGAACCTTGGTAATTTTGCTGTCAATCGGTTGAATTTTACACCAGTTAACTGACTACAAGAGAAAGATTGGAATGGCACCGAGCGTAATTGCTGACTAATATCCGCCTCGCCATTTTCTACCTGGTGTAGACGATGAACGTTCGTTAGTACTGATGACGTTAGGCGATGGGTTGGCCCAATATATAAGGTATTGTATGATTTTGGATGGGGCCACTTTTCACCCCGATAGTACAGTACATTGTACTCAAGGCAAGGCAAGTCATCCCGTCCACTTGGGTTCAGTATAATAGGATCAGAGGCAGGTTGTTTGTATACTCAGTATGGACTGGATGGTACTGTATGGGACGGTACGGTGGAGCGACGAAAGCAACAGAATCGCCTTAAAACAATGCGACTGGATAGGACGTACTGTAGACTGTACACTGTAGAGTACAGTACATTGTACCCAGCTCAAAGCAAGTCATTCTGTAGGCTTTGGTTCAGTACTGTTGGTTTGAGGCAGCTTGCTTGTACTGTATACTCAGTATGGACAGGATGGTACTGTATGGGACGGTACGATGGAGTGACGAAGGCAACAGAATACTGTAGCATTAAAACAATGCGACTGGACAGGACGTACAGTACAGTACTGTAGACTGTACACTGTAGAGTACAGTACATTGTACCCAGCTCAAAGCAAGTCATTCTGTAGGCTTTGGTTCAGTGCTGTTTGGTATGAGGCAGCTTGCTTGTATACTCAGTATAGACTGGATGGTACTGTATGGGACGGTATATTGGAGCGACGAAGGCAAAAGAAAAGCGTTCAAACAATGCGGACTGGACAGGCCGTACTGTAGACTGTACACTGTGGAGTACAGTACATTGTACCCAGCTCAATGCAAGTCATCCTGTAGGCATTGGTCCAGTACTGTTGGGTATGAGGCAGCTTACTTCTATTCTCTGTATGGACTGGATGGTACTGTATGGGATGGTAGCGTAGAGCGACGAAGGCATCAAAACAACACTACAGTACAGTACACTGATCCTGGTGGTTACAGTGTACAATACCTACTGTACAGTACGGACTGTAAGTCTGGTATTGTACGAAGTGCTGCGTAATGCTTATGCAGGGAGTCCGGGAACGGATCATTTTTGCAACGTCATTCAACGTCATGATTACAGCACAAACAGTCGATAGCACTCATTCACTCGACCAGGTGTTTCACGGATGCACACTTCAGTCTCGTACTGGACGTCGTTCCGTCTGTCCTGTCCAGTACGAGATTTTCGACAGTAACATCATCCATGGATGAATGAATGACTTGCCATAACGTCATTCTACCCATTGATAGCTAGTACAGTACAGTACAGTACTGTCCGTTAGAAGTAGAGTCTTGCGTCTTCTATGTACCTACAGTACCGTCCTTGACACAACTTTCATCAAGCTCATCCGGACCGAGACCGGGACGGGACCCTGATGGGACATACAGTACCGTACTGTACTCTGTATCCTTCTGACTAGAAAACCCTTTCCTCTTAATTACAGTAAATCAATAAAATCAATCAATCAATCAATCCAAAATCAAAATAGTCTCTGCCAATCATATTTCCTACTGCACTCGTACACTACAATAAATTTATCAATTCAATGCTCGACTACGGTAGGATGGTGTTTCATTTAGACTGGATCGGAAGAGTGAACGGTTGACCAGTCCACCTCAGTAAACCAGCAAAATAGTCAGCATCTCCATCGATGACAATCACTGGCCAATCAGTCAGCATGCTGTATTGTACTGTACAAGTGTACAGTGTAATAAGGCAGCCCAATAACGCTTCTACACTACCAGTATACCATGTTCAGCATTTCCTTCCACAGCTGCCGCTCATCTACATGTTTTCAACTCTTCCACCAATAGTATCCGATCATGCTTCCACTGTTGATGGACCTTTCGCTGCCATTGCAGTCATGACACCCACTATCCATCGATGACAACCACTGGCCTCTCTTTCATCCAGTGTTGGAGTAGCTACAGACTATGGCCAATTTGTCAGCATGCTGTACAGTGTAATAAGGCAACCCAATAACGCTTCTACACTACCAGTATAGCATGTACAGCATTTCCTTCCATAGCTGCCGCTCATCTACATGTTTTCTTCTCTTCCACCAATAGTATCCGATCATGCTTCCACTGTTGATGGACCTTTCGCT